ACAGTATTTATTATTGATATGTGTGAATTATACAATGATCAAAATTTTTTGAACGAATGGTCTGACTTCAAGAAAGATATATATGAAAATCCATTACATACCTTAAATTGTTTTAAACTCACTATACATCAGGTATATTGATATAATTTTTTTTATATATTTATGAAATATTAAATTCTAATACTTTTAGCAAATTTTAAATACAATATCACGAGAAAATTTGAGTTCTGTAAATATTATAAATACACTATCCAATGTTAGAATAAAAATATTGAATTATGAACCAATTATAAGTTTACAAGATTTGAAAGCAAATTCTTATGGTATGTATATAATATTTATAAGAAATAATTTTTTGTTTTTAATGTAATTAATTTTTCTAACAGGAAGATTAGTATCTGTTAGAGGCTGTGTAATTAGAGTAGGTCATGTGAAGCATCTTGCACAATGGATAGTATTTGCTTGTCGTAAATGTAATTTGCAAAAAATAATGAAACAGCCATTGGGAGTCTTCACAATTCCGAAAAAAATGTAATCTATGTGGCGTATCTAAATTTCGTGCCATATTAGATTCACCATTGGTAAAAAGCATTCCATTTCAAACAATTAAAATACAAGAAATTTCGAATAATGATCAGGTTTTTATCTTTATAATAAATTAAAAAATTATAAATATTATAAATTATAAGTAAAAATAAATCGAACATCTTTAATAATATATTTTATATACATTATACATATTATTTGATTTTTTTTCCATTAGAACAGTAAAGGTAATATGCCTAGAATGGTTGATATCGAATTAATGGATGAATTAGTTAATACTTGTATGCCTGGAGATGATATTACTTTAACAGGAATTATAAAGGTAAATATAGCAAATTATAAAATAAAATATATGTAATAAATTATAAAAATAAAATACTAATATATATAATTGTAAAATAAAATGAATTAATTATTTCGTTTATTCTTGAAGTTATATCAAAAAAAATTTCTTTATGATTCCATTTTTTTATTCTATTTCTCTTATAATCCTTACTATAAAATTAATTGAATTATTATTGAATTATTAATTGAATTAAAATTAATTTGTGTTTGAAAAGCTTTTTTCCATAGCGCAGAATTGTAAGATTTTAAGAAAAAATGAAGATGATTGTGAATTTAATTCATTTAAAAATATTTCATATATTTTAAGTATATTTTTATGTATAAACAGTAAATATATACAGTAAATATTTATAATTATCAGATTTACAATAGATAATTCTTCTGAATTATTCTTCAGAAACAAATTGGATGTTAAAAATATACGCATGACAATCAAACAAACGAATATTTGTCCACATATGGATTGTTCACATACTATTCGAATTTATGAGAACTAATCGATTAAATAAGTTTAATTTTTAATCTGTATTTATATATTGCTAGATAATAAATTAATATTAATTAATTTTAATGTACATAAGTCAAAAAAAATATATAGATTTTATATCTTCATTTTTATTAATAGAATAAAATATTTTTAAATACAAGATAAATATTGATAAAAATTTCAAGAAAAATTTAGGACATTTTTTTCATTTCATTTAATAAATCTTGAAATTACGCATATTATTTTGCAATTTCCTTTTTTTTTTAAGCAATTAATTCTAAAACACACAAAAGAACACACACAAAAAACATTATATTTATAACGTAATTGTGAAGATTTTTAAATAGATTTTTTACTAGAATAATATTAGATATATTAATTATCAGCATCTTTTCAATTTTTATTTTTATTTCAATTTTTTTAATAATCGAAAATTGATAAAATTGATTTCTGAAAAATAATTTAGAAACGATTAGTAGCGATATGATTTATTAAAATTTCTGATTTTTATAATTGAAAAATCTCGTGATGAGATTTCCATAAGATTATATCCATAATCTCGTCTGTGACCTTTCCAAAAAATTCCAAATATCTTACGTCACTTCAAATATAAGCCTCACCTTCACTAAAGAAAGATATTTCAAGGGCGTATAGAAGAGGGGATCGCAACACTCATTGATTCGAAAAATTAGCATTTTTATAAGCAATCAACAGACATATGGATTCTATAAGAAATCATCATCAAAATTTTTCAAATTTAAATAAATTTTTATATATTATTTTTATCGATATAGTATAGTTTTAATATAAATATCGATAATCTTGAAATTTTTTAAAAATGACTTCAACAATTAAATTTTTACTCCTATTTTGTAATTTATATTTTTATTTTTAAATATTTTTTTTCGTATTATTAAATGACAATTAATTGAATTTATATTTATTTTTATTAAAAAAAAGTACATATATTTTATATTTTAATTGTATATTAAGTTTTAAAAAAAATTTTTGAAATAATATGATATATTATATTACATATGTAGGGTACTAATAATGCTAAGATTCGAAATAAAATGTCATTTTCTTTATACATGGAAGCTATTACAATAATTAACAATAAACAGAGACTTCAAAATAAAAATTTTACGAATAATGAAATGTCAATAAAGGATTATTTAGCAATAAAGGTATAAATTATTAATATATCTTATTACGATTTGAATGACTCATATTGTTTAAAAATATTCATGTTTTTGCCAATTTAATTAGGAAGTATATAATACACCAAATATTTTTCCACTTTTGGTACATTCTTTATGTCCGAGTATATATGGTCATGAAATTGTCAAGGCTGGATTAATATTGAGTTTATTTGGTGGGAATGTAGAACATTTCGAATTACGAGAAAATATTCATATATTAGTCGTTGGTGATCCTGGCCTTGGAAAATCCCAAATGTTACAAGCCTGTGCACGAATTGCCGCAAAAGGTATAATAAATGGATGAAAAATTTTTTATTTAACATATGGACATATCAAAGAATTTATAACATAATTTTTAAAGGTGTATATGTATGCGGAAATTCAAGTACATCGTCCGGTTTGACAATAACGCTAACGAAAGAAAATAAAAATAATAATTTTAGTTTAGAACCTGGAGCATTAGTTTTAACAGATAGAGGATGTTGTTGTATTGATGAATTTGATAAAATGTGTAAACAACATGCGGTAAAGCTATTAAAAAAAATATTTAAATATTAAATTAATAAAGAATTTTTAATTTTATACTTTTATAAATAACATATGTTTGATGATTTATTACTTCATAATAACAAATTATTTGAATTATAGGTTTTATTAGAAGCTATGGAACAACAAAGTGTAAGCATTGCTAAATCAGGAATAATATGTTCCCTTCCTACGAGAACATCTATTCTTGCAGCTGCTAATCCAATTGGTGGCCGATTTAATCGAAATAAGACAGTAATGCAAAACTTAAAAATGAGCTCACCTCTCTTGTCCCGTTTTGATCTAATATTTTTATTATTAGACGAGCCAAATAAAGTATAAATATTTAATATATAATGGCGTATAAATAAATACCTTTAGTATTAGATCGTATATTTAATATTATATTTTTTTATTTATAATAGCATATAGACGATTTATTATGTAAACACGTTATGTCCATCCATGCTGATGTAAATACAATTAATAAAACACAAAGTAATACGAATCAATTTACAAATGCATCAGATACAACCAAACTTTCATTAAGGTAATTAAAAATATATTAATTAATTTATTATTCATAAAATTTATTTATTTAAAAAAATTTTTAGAGATAGACTTAGACTTTCTGCAGACGAAAATCCGAATATCATTCCGCAGTCAATTCTCAGGAAATATATCGCATATGCACGACAATATGTTAAACCAAAATTGACTAAAGAAGCGGCTATAATATTACAGAATTATTATTTAAAATTACGAAATAAGAATAATAAATTTAGCGGTTTATCTGTCTGCAACAGACAATTAGAAGCTATGATACGATTAACAGAGGTTTAATTATTTTAATTACTGTTTGTTTCAATCTTTATATAAATTTTAAATTAAAAAGAAACTTGTTATTAAACAGGCTAGAGCAAAGTTGGAATTACGGACAGAGGCAACAGAAGTGGATGCTTTGGATGTAGTAGAAATTTTACAACATACATTCGATGATAAATCTATAAATTATCAATTCTTAGGTACAAAAAATGTAACTACTGGAAAAGTAAGTAAATAATAGATTTACTATGTTTAATAAAAGATATATATATGATATATATTTTAATATGCAATCTTTATTTCAAGATTAAACAGTTTATGGAAATATTAAAAAAAGAAACCAATTCTAATAAAAGTCAAATATTTTCTATGAAAAGATTACAAGAGATTGCGATAGATAAAAATTTTGTAATGGGTGATTTTTCTGAATTTCTTATGAAGTTAAACGAGAACGGAATCTTATTAAAAATGGGAAATAATACATTCAAATTTGTTTCTTCTTGATCTAATCTCATATATGTAAGATATAAAAAATAATTTTAACACAAAATAAAATTTATTATATACATCAGTGTTTATTGACTGAATTTTTAAGTAACTGAATTTTAAATTATTAATATTATAATAATATTTCCAGATATTTATTTGTATTTATTGGTAATATAACATAAACAAATTTAATATTATCATACATAAGATTTTAAACTTCAAAACAATCAGCTTTACATGGAAGACGCCAATACATGTATAGACAACAGTTTGGTGGTGGTACATGAAAACAACCGGGTCTGCAGCAAGGCCGTTTAGGAACGTATATCTTTGGTGGTGGAATATGTGGAGGAGGAATAGTAACCTTGCAAAATCTGTTTAATAAAATCTTTTTATAATATATATTTTAGATGATATTAAAAATATTAATTTTTATGTTGCTCATTTAATTCTTATAAAAGTTTATGTATTTCACATTATATACATTTTACCTAATTGCATATTGTTTCATATATGTGTATTATCTGTAGTTTCGTTATAAACAAAACTACGAAACAAGTTATTGAAATTCAAATTATAATGTGGTATAATTGTTTCAAGTTCGTGCCGAACGGACAAAAATGATATATATATATATGTATATATAAATATATTCTCCTAATGGAACAATTCATTTAGAGACAAACGCAGCGTGCCGTAGCTCTTGTTAGGCATCTTGCAGCGCATGCAGGTGGACAATATGGAATACATTTCGGTGGACAAGGTCCGCACGGCACTGGTGGCGTACATATGGTAATTTTACATGGTGGAGGGCATGCAACACAAATTGGTGGGACACATGGATAAGATACACACGATGGACAAGATGGTAGCTGGTACTGAGCCACAGGCGATGGGAAACAAGGTGAACAACATGATAAAGTATTTCCTCCGCAAGACATTGCACGTTCTTTCTCTTTCTTTATTAAATTTTTCTTTACTTAATTATTACTTTTATAATTATTTTTGTACACCGCAAATTTTGATAACAGAATATCAAACAATTGAAGTTTATCCAAAATTATCATTCACTTATTACATATTAGATATATTCAGATGATATTGTCGTTTTTTTTAGAATAAAATCATTTCAGTGCAATGTTCCAAATAATAAATTAATTGGGTAAAAAATATGCAAAAAATATAATGAATATGTAAAAAAAAAATCGTATTCTATCATTTTTAAAACTGGGATAAAATCAAAATTTGTTGTATTTCGTTGTTTGAATATAAACATTGTTAAAAATGCCATGCGATGGAAAAAATCCAAATTGCGATAGAAGACGAGAATTATTAGCTCAATTGAAATGTTTAATTAGTTCTATGGAAAGAAAGTAAGAGAATCTTATAATTACAGTCACGAGTAAACTTATAAATCATTTATTACAGAAAAGCATGTGAATGGGATGAGCCACCATGTCCACCTCCTGTTATGTGTTCACCTTGTGCAGCACCTTGTGTAAGTATAAATTGGTTTAAATATACTGTTATGAAAAATCAAAATTTGCGGTATAAACTTGAGGTCAGATAATATGATTTAAAATAAGACGAAAATAAAAAATATCAAAATTGCATTAGACAATTTGTTTTCGAGAAAATTATAATTAAAAATTTGTCAAATATATATAAAACTTATAATTATTTTTATTTTATTAAGTCATTTTTAAGTCAGTAAATAAAATTACGGAAATTTTCATCTGGATATCATTTTTCGCAACAATAGAGCTTTTAAATCAATTAATGAATAGTATTTTAAATTTATAATGAATCTAATAGTAAGTATATTCTTTCAAATTATATTAAAAAGTCTATAAGATTCCATGATTAATTGAATAACGTTCTTTGTTAATTTAATCATAATTTTCACTCAGTTTATAAAATACCATCATCGATTGAATAGCGTTCTTTGTTAATTTAATCGCATTTTATATTCAGTCTATAACATTTCATCATCAGTAGAATAGTGTTTCTTGTCAATTTAATTGCCATTTATACTCAGTTTTCATTCAAGCGATCTTTATACTTATTATTATATGTGCAAATAAGAAAAACATTGAAAGCGAATAATAGAAAAAAAAAAAAAAACATTCATCAGTTGATTCCGTAATTCAAATAATCGAAATACGATCAGAATTAATATAATTTTTTTTTGAAAGAACTCAATACAAACTAAATAATATATGAATTTGATATTTCGATAATTAAATAACGTGCAATTTTTTATATATTCAAAAATTATTTCAAAAATTCGACTATTCAATATTATATTCATTATAATATTATCATTATACAAGATGTTAATGATATAAAAAGTTTATTATATAAAAAATTAATAATATTTTGAAAAATAATTTGTAAAGTTATGAAAAGAAAAACTAATTTTTATTATATTAATTATAAGAATTAAATTTTATACATTAAATTTCAGATTCCAGTTAAACAATGTAAAAGTTATGATTTTCGAACAAGTATTATATATAGATGTGAATGTATCAAAAGGAATGGACTACAAGATAGATGTATGATGTGGGAATGCATGGGTAGACCAGAATGTATGACGAAATTGTATCCCGTTTGTATGCCAGGCCGCTGCGCGTTATTGAAATTAACTGAATTAGGAGATATGGAAGTTGCTTTAAAGAAATTTTATTGTGCTGATCAAGCAAGGGAAGCTGCTCTTGCCGCATATTGTAGATTGGTATGTAATACAAGCGCGGACAAATCTTGCTGCATGGTGACTCCAATATGCTCAAGCAAATCTTCTAAACCTATATGCGTTGAACTACCATGTTCACCATGTCCACCATGTCTACCAAGTTTACCGTGTCCACCGTGTCCACCGTGTCCACCATGTTCACCATGCCCACCATGCCCGCCATGCCCGCCATGCCCGTCATGCCCGCCATGTTCACCGTGCCCACCGTGCCCACCGTGCCCACCGTGCTCACCATGTCCACCATGTCCACCATGTCCACCATGCCCACCATGCTCACCATGTCCACCATGCTTACCATGTCCACCATGCCACCGTGTCCATCTTGTTCACCTTGTATTACTTCTTGTGTACCTCCTTGTGCTACTTTCAAAATTGTGTTCCATGTCCACCACCATGTCCACCTTCATGCACGCCACCATGCGTAATACCATGTATACCACCGTGTCCACCACCGTGTCCACCACCATGTCCACCGCCATGTTTACCACCGTGTTTACCGTGTTTAACGCCATGTCCACCATCATGTTCACCACCATGTCCACCACCGTGTCCACCACCATGTCCACCATGTCCACCACCGTGTTTACCATCATGTCCACCACCATGTCCACCACCATGTCCACCACCGTGTCCACCACCGTGTCCATCTCCATGTCCACCAAAATGTCCACCACCGTGTTCGCCATGTCCACCGTGTTTACCATGTTTACCATGTTCCCCGTGTCCACCATGTTCACCATGCCCACCATGTTTACCATGTCCACCATGTTACCTTGTCCACCATGTCCACCATGCCAACCGTGTTCACCATGTGCACCACCATGTCTTACACTATGTCCATCACCATGTTTATCAGTGTGCCCGTCACCGTGTTAAACAAAATGTTTCAATATATATCCATCGATATATTTTTTTCTATATGTACCAATCTTTTCATAACAGAATTTATTTACCAGTTATTATATTGGTTATCGATTAGATTCTTTAATCTGTGCATTTTTCATTTTGTTACAAATTTATTTTATTATATATGTTTCATATCTTCTGTCAACAATGTTATTTGTTAAATTGAAGATGTTTTTATAATGTTATGCCATGAAACAAATAAAAATAAAAATTTTATATAAAAATATATTTTAAAATATTTATATATATATATATATATATATATCTTCTATTATCTATATGTGCATATGTATTTCATGTAAAAAATATACATGGGATAAGACATATAATATGTAAAATATTATTTTCTCTGAAATTATTAACGATAAGGTCAAATTTTTTCTTCAGTAAATATACAAATTGGATATTTTTACACTCTTGGAGGATTAAAAAAGTCTTTATTTTTAATAGAATGATATAGACGATAAATAAATTGTTTTGCCATTTTTATTATATTTTAATTAAAAAATATATGATCAAAAATACAACTGTATTTTTTAAATGTTTTACCATAAATTATTTAAAATTAAATTTTATTTTTCTAAATCGATATTTATTCGTGTGTAACATATACTGTTATATGTCTGGCATTTCGCATTATTTGTATGGTGGATACTGTTCTGGATGTCGAGATTGCAAATATTTTGCTGGTGGACACTTAGGCCATGGCTTGACCAAACAATTAGGGTCCTGTTGACATTGACTTAATGGACAAGAATCTTGAAGACCATCTCTATGTACACAATGACATCTTGTAAATAAAATACCATTTCGCATTTCAGGAATTTTAAGCCATTTGTTGGCTAAAATAAAAATTAATTTTCAATATATAATTATATCATATGTTATTATATTATTATATTATTTTATATATAATATATATATAACTACATATAATAAAATATAATAAAATAAAATAAAGCTACATTATCTTTAAAAAAAAAAACGCTATTTTTAAATTTCACAATACAGATTGATTAAAATTTACCTTCGAAATTTTTTTAGTTTTTATACCATAAGATTTTGATGTTTTTGTTGTGCGATGTATTTTTTCTTCAAATGGGATCATAAGAAATGCTGATATAAGTGGCGATTTTTCTTGATCGCATTTCTGCTGTCTTATATTGGTAATTTTGGGACGAAAACTATTAAATACATAAAAATTAATTTCATTTTTGATAAAGAAATGATTTTATTTATATATATAATTATATTATTATGTATATATATATTTTTTTTATTTCATTTTTAATAAAATTATTAAAAAAAATAAAAAAAGAATGCGTTACATGATTAATCTAAAAATCTAAAAATGGTAATTCAATGAAGACAAATTAGAATAGTTTTCCTATAAATAAAAATTTTTTATAGAAATTTATTCAGATATTTAATTAATTTTTTTCTGAATGATACGTAAAAAAAAAAAAATATATAAATATCACAAATATGAGAAAGAAAAATGAAAACAAAGAAAATAAAAAAATTAATAAAAAAAAGAATAAATACACAATTAAAATAAATAATGTAAAAAAATGATTAAAATAGTTTAAATAGCAATAATAAAATAATATGTTTTACAAGAAGTGTTAAGTTATAAGTTAAGACTTATAAGAGAAGAATATATAATACTCGTCATATTATTATATTATATATTTTTTGCTTAAATCATTATTATTTATAAATTTATTTATAATTTTCTTTATTATAAAAAATTAATCTTTTTCCTAATACTTAATATAAAAAATATGTAAATATGTAACATAAATAAATGATTAACATAATGATATAACATAAAAATATATAAAATTATTTTAATATTTAAATATATTTATTGTACATGTAAATATTCTAACATATATATATATATATATGTATATAAACTAACCATGTTGACGGTGTTGTTTTTACTTTAGAAATTGTTGTAGTTTGCATTATGTTTCAATTTTAAAATATTTGATAAAAATATTTTAATTATAGCACAATTAATGGAACTATTAATTTGTCATATTGTAAACATTTTTTTAATTATAGACTAAAATTTTGGAATTTGGAAGAAAAAAATGGATTGATAAATTTCACAATAAATTTTACAACGATCGCATTTTGTTGCGATCTATATAAATAAATGTTAACATTCTTGAAATGAGCAATACTAATCAATTTTTTATTATATTTTAAATTTCAAAGTTGATTTAAAACAAATTTTTTTCGTTAATTGTAAAATATGAAATATATATAAATTGTAATATATTATAGAGTGTTTGTATTTTTTTAAGTAATATTTTGTATATTATCTGTTACAGAATTATTATCTGTATTATATTATAATATATGTGTATAAAATACAGATTTAAAAAGTATATCAAATTAATAAATTTAAATAATATATATTCATTAACTTTTATTAACTATTATTTTAATTATTTATTATCATAGTTATATTGTGATTAATATAAATTAATAGTATGTATTAATTATGTATATAAAAAATGTGTAGATAAAAAATAATCAAATTTACATTTCAAAAAAAAAATTAAATCTTATTTTAAAACTATTTAAAAATTGTTTAATAATTTAATATTTAATATATATATATTATATATACGTCTATATTATATATATATATATATAAATATACATAAAGAAATATATTTATAAAGAAATAAAAATACAAAAATTAATATTATATTATATTTTATTTGTATATACATTATTATTAGTTTTGAACATAAATATCTGCTATTAATTACATCGAGGCGTAGGACATGGTACATTGCATTGTCTATATCGATACCATTTATCTGTCTATTGGAAAAAGAAAACGTTTTAATTTAAAAATAAAAAATAGTATTAAAATTTTAAAGTATATTTTCTCGAGACATTTCAATATTTAATTAAATATAACTAGTAACTATAGTTATTAAATATTTTTAAAAATTTTTACATACACCCTGTAATACATAACTTCGACCTGGAATAGGATAAAGCAAATCTGTTCGAATCTCATTTAAATTTGAAGCCAATAATATAGTAGCAGTAGAACTATACGTAATAAGAGGTCGACTCATAGGAAAGGTCATCCAAATTGGTTTACATTCTTCAGGACTAGGTTTTGTACCCCATGCTTCTGGATCATATAAATAATTATATTTTACACACATCATTGGTTTTGTGGTTCTCCTGAAAATTTCAATAATATCAGAAAATATTCTTAAAATAAATACTAAACTTTAATTTTATATTTCTATATCGTTATCTAATATTAATATGAATTTAGATTATTATTTATAATCTATTTTTAATATGTAATGTAATATAAGATTACAAAATTATTTCTTACATAGAATCCATTTTGTTAAATAGACATCTTAAACGTTTAAGTTCTTGACCAGAATTTGAAATTCTGTTAGAAAATCCCCAATTTCCCATTGTTTCTCCTGCAGTATACTTAAATTTTGAAAATTTACAAAGATTATAATCATTCTGCATCTTGACTATTATTAATAATATATAATTGAAAGTAATGAAATTAATATAATAAATCATAAACTTGAAAAATTTTTTATATAAATTATATAAAAATATTTTTTATCAAAATATTACATTATCATTATATATCTTTCATTTTATTTATTTATTTAAAAAATATTATAGTTGCAAACTTCATGTAATAATAAAATTTTAATTTCACACTATATCATAAATGTATCTAGTTTCCAGTATTTTAAAATACTTAAAGATACTATTTTAAAAGAAAGATTTTATGATATTCAGAAATAAATATCGTTACAGATATTTTTAAAATATAATAATATATGATATGTAATATGATAAGATATATTTCAAATAGTTTGTACTGTTTGATATACTGGATAAAACATCTATAGCAAATATCTATAATTCATAATACAGATATAATGGAATTATTAAAATATTAAAAATTTTGACTTTCTAACAAATTAAATTGAAATAATAAATAATAATATTTTTTATAATTATTTATTTTTAAATGCATAATATATAA